TGATGGGATTCAAATATTTTACTACTGGTTTTGTGGGCATGGCATGGTGGGTGTGGCTGGTGGGTATGGCAGGGGAAGGACACTGTAAAATATTCAATCTTTCCCCACTCCAGGGGAAGGATACTGCAAAATTCCCATTTCCTCCCAATCAGCTGGGACTCGGGAAGCAGAGAATAGATGGGGCGAGGCCAGTCAGAGGTGGTATTTGCCGATTCTCCGAACGACTCAAAATATCCGCTACCGGTTTTCCAGAGCTAGTCGGAACCTGCTGAATACCACCTCTGGAACCTACATATGTTAACATTAAGCATGAGAGGGATTGTAACTTGTCTTTAGGAGACTCACTTAGTTTTAAGCTGAACCACACCAATTATAACCGAGCATTTTACTTCTGCGCTGTAGCATAGCCAGGGAGACCATGACTAGGCCATTCACCTGTTCTGAAAAGAAAAAAACCTGTCTAAGGAATGTAGATTCAAAAATGCAAATGTTCTGGCGAATGACGCTTGATTGAGGTTCTCTAACCTAACACTCTCTTGTAGAGAGTGTTCTGTCTATTATAATGCTGATTTCAGGGGCTTTCCTTGATGCTCAAATTATGATCCGTGTAGTCTGCAGTCACATGTCCCTCAGCCGAAGCAACGGGCCATTGCAAATCTATTTGCAAGGTCTTCTGTATCCGAACACTCTCTCACTTGGTGTTCTTTTCATTTTTGGGGTAGTGTTGCCAAGTATTATCTAACAACTGTATGACACAGTCACATTGATGTTAATTATCCAAGCATGATCGCATCCTGACTGGTCAGTAGCCGAGAGTGAATGCTATTCATTCTAATAAATGCATGAGCACCTGGCATTTTTTTGCTTTCCTTCTATCAAGGCAACAAGGGATCTTTGTGCATAGGCACAATGACGATATATGTTTACTTTTCTCTCTCTCTCTTTTAAAAAAAGAAGGAGGAAGATATATGTTAAAAATAAATATGTATATTGAAAAGGAATTATAAGTACCGTCAACATAAGATGGAGCTCGCTCAGAAGCTGAAATGCACCAAGTAAATGAGATGAAGAGTATGAAGTAGAGGAGAGAGGTAAGGGAAGGAGAGAGGGATAGGAGAGAGGGCAGGGGGTGGAGAGGAGGAGAGAAAGGAGGAGTGGAAAGGGGAGAGAGGAGAAGGAGAGGGGAAGGGGAAGTAGAGAAGAGAAGGGTGACAGAGAGAAGAAAGGAGGTAGGGAAGGGGAGGAGAGAGGGAGAAGAAAGTGACAAATATGGTGCAGAAGAGCCAATAATTGTTTTTGGGAGCTGATGGTAAGATGAATTAATGTAAACATTTAATAATACAATACGATGTTGGCTACGTAATAGTATACATGTGGTTATATCTTATGAAAATGAAAAAATGGAAAAAAAAAACATTATATACAAAAAAGGCAACAAGAGATCTGTGATTTTATTTAAAAATCCCAATGTCGGATCCACCTGAGCAATGATGGGCATCCAGGAGTGGGATTGAAAAATTTTAACAAATGGTTTTCTGCCCAAACTTTGGAGACTTTTCTCGAGCCTCCGGGAGGGCAGAAACAGCTTCCCGGGGCTCTGAAGCCCCGCGGAGGCCAGAAATGGTACCATTTCAAGACTTCTTAGAACTTCTTGGAAGCCTGTTTTTTCACCCTTCCCAGGCTCCGGATTCTTCCCTTGAGCCTCCTAGGGAGCAAAAACAGTCTCCCCCAGGCTCTGGAGGCATTCTAGAGGCCAGAAATGAGCCCACTTCCAGACTTCTGGAACTTTTGGGAAGCACAGAAATTCTGGGAGGAACATCAATGGGTGTGGCCTGCTTGGCCTCCTGCACTAGGCCACGGGGGACATTTTCACCCTCTCCAGGCTCCGGAGGCTCTCCGGAGGTCAGAAATAGGCCCATTTCTAGATTTCTGGAACTTCAGGGGGGGCATTTTTCACCCTCCCAAAGCCTCCAGCATCCAAAATGGGCCATATAGAGACTCCTGGGAAGGGCAGAGTGGGGAGACTGGAGCCAGCCAGTCCTTTCAACTACTGGTTCAGCAAACCAGATGCAAAATTAGCATACTCTTTGCCCGAACTAGTCTGAACTGGTCCGAACTGTCCAGAGTCTAGTTTTATTCAATGTATTAACTCCCAATCTTTAACTCCTGTCCTTTTTTTTTTTTAAAAAAAGGAAGAGATAGCAGAAGTGCCAGTTATTTCACATGTGAATGTTTATCACTTACAAGCCATCCTGATTTTTCGTAAGCCTTTTGATGATATCAGGTGGCATCTCTAAAGAAAGATCCCTTGACAGAAGGTGTTTATGCATCCAGTTATGGGCTACTATTAATTGGCTTGCTGTTCCTAGGAGAATATTTCCAACATCCAGGATTTAAAGTATATGAGTAAAGCATTCTTTGTAGATTTGAAAATATATCTATCCCCTTACTGTATATTCCATGTGAGGGTAGAATCTCTTACTTTCTAACTTCAGTCCTATCAAAAGCAGGAGTTCATAAGCTAGCATTCTGAAAGACTTATTGGATGCTGAAAGATCTTCTCTAAGGGGACAAATTGCTCTCATCCAGTGGTGGGATTCAATTTTTTTTTTCAGTTCTGTGGACATGGCTTGGTGGGCATGGTGTGGCTTGGTGGGCGAGGAAGGGGAAGGATACTGTAAAATCTCCAATCCTTCCCCATTCCAGGGAAAGGTTACTGCAAAATCCCCATTTTCTCCTGATCATCTGGGACTCTGGAGGCAGACAATAGATGGGGGCAGGGCCAGCCAGAGGTGGTATTTACCAGTCCTCTGAACTANAGACACAATGGAATGGGCATGTAAGCATTTTCTGGTTTTCCCTGGCAATCTATTTAATTAATTAGAAGATTATTGGAAAATATAACAAAGTGAGATGTAGTCTATCACTTTTTTAAAAAAAAAATCTGCTAGGAGCAAGTGAGAGCATGACCATTGTTTGTCATGTCTACATACAATCATTAATGGAAACAGAAAGTTGGAGTAGATAACTCCAGTCTGGTGAATGTAGATGGAGGAAGACAAGATTTCATACAGAGAATTTTCTATGCTAGTTTCACACCTGCTGAAAAAAAGGAAAATGTGTTAAGTCTTCCACCACATCTAGTTACCTGCAAGAAGGAAAGATCCTGGTTTTGTCCAATGAGCACTATCTCAAGGTTGCCCATGACGATCTCACAGTTGTTGTACATTTTATATAGTGTCTGATACCGTTGCTGGGCATCTCCTGTCACACTGAGCTCATTTTGGGTGCCTGCACAAACTGCAACAAAAAAGAAAGAAAGAAAAGAAATGGAATTCATAAATCATTCATGAAGCCCACCAGACATAGTCCAGTGCTTATTCCATAATAGTCTGCATCATAAAAAGCAAAGTCCAAAATCCATGTATTATCACTTTCTGCTTTAATCAACCATGTCCCCAAGAGCATGGCACTAGTAAATATCAGGAATGGAGCAGATAATGTGTTCCAGTCCAATCAAAGTTCTTCTCTATTCTTTCAAATTAATCAAAATATCAGTCTGAATGGGCGTATATTTAGTCTGTTATCTTCACTGTCATGGATTCCATCTAAAAACAATGAATTATATTTTTATGAAGGTGCTATGACGTTGTTGTTACCTCTTCTGCATTATTATTTGAAAAAATTCTTCAGGGACAAGAGATGATGAGTAGACATTACAGTCAATCTTAAAAAGGGGATCATTAGACAAAGGTGGTGTCCCTGTTTTGAGATGGAATAAGTTCTTAGGTTATCCAATGGCATCATGACCTAGGGCTTGTAATTGAGCAAAATATAGTTTCTATTGATGGGAAGCTTCCATTTCAAGACAATTGACAGTTCAAACTCTGGTCAATTTTGTCCCTGTTCACTTTGCTTGGACTTTTTTAACTGGTAGGAGGAGCTGTAAGGAATGGAAGATTGGGAATAAATCTACTGTCAAAATACCCTGGATCAATCTCAGATACATTTGAAAAGCTTAGAAAAGCAGAGAAACTATTGCCCTTAAATATTTCCCAAGGACTCTAATGCTTCCAAGGCAAAGGAACAGAGATACACAAAACAAAAATCTGTAAGAAATGGAGACCTAATCCATAAAGGGCTTTTCCTAAACTGATAAGAAAGATAAGATGATATGACAAAATCCAATAAGAACAACACCAAACAACTATGTTATACGGCATCCTCTTCCAACTTCATTTTTTTCTTCCTTTTTGGAACTATTAACATTAGAGATAGGCATCTACCTGTGAATTCCTCAGAAGGATAGTAATGCTGGCTAATATCCAGAGAGAGATTTCAAGTGTATGACACACAAACAAAAACATTTTATATTCTCCATTATTCATAGAATTATAGGGCTGGAAGGGACCTTGGAGGTCTTCTAATCCAATGCCCTGCCCAAGGCAGGAGTTCTTACACCATCTCGGACAAATGGTTGTCCAGTCATTTCTTCAAAATCTTTAGTGATGGAGCATCCACAACTCCAAGAGGTAAGCTGTTCACACATTAATTGTTCGTACTGTTAGAAAATCCCTCCTTGGTTGGATCTCCCTTTGATGAGCTTCCACCCATTGTTTCTTGTCTTACTCTCGATGCTAATGAGAATAAATTGAGCCCTCTTCCCTATGACAAGGGGAAGTATCATGTATCATCAAGTAGCATGTCTCCCCTAAGTTTTCCTTTCATAGGTTAAACATATCTATGGTAGGTAGTTCCCTTCACCGTTTATCACACAATTTAGCCCCCTGACCCCTTATCATCTTTGTTGCTCTTCTCTGCACTCTTTCCAGGGCCTCAGCATCCTTTTTGTATCGTGGCAACTGGACGCAGAACTGGACAGAGTATTCCAAATGTGGCCTCACTAGTACAATACAGAGCGATACTATCTGATGTTGCAACCTAGGACTGTGCTGGCTTTTTTGGCTGGCTGTGCAGGCTGTACCACCCTGCTGACCCATACTTAAGTGGTGGTCTACTAGCACACTTAGATCCCTGTCACAGGTGCTACTGTACAGCCAGGTACTGCCTATCCTATACCTGATGTTCTTCTTCCTCCTCTTCCACCTCCTCTTCCTCCTTTCCCCACTTACAAGCTATTATTAACTCTTTCCTCTCCATAACTTCTAAACATTTTACCCTGAGGAGTAGGAGTCTCAGCCAATCAGAAAAAGCTCAATGTTTCTTAGGAAAGCCAAAACATTTTAGTTTCACACAATGTGTGATGATCCATCACATCAAGAAAGAATTGTTATCCCTTGAATATGGATTATAGGTCTATAATTCACTTTTACGATGAGGTTTCAAGATATGAATGCTAACTAGAAATGTTTAAAACTCACAATCTCTACCTACCTAGAGGGTGTGAGGTTGGAAAATGCTGCTTTACTGGTTGACAAACAGGTCCTACCAAAAGCGTAGAAAGGGCTAGAAATTGTCACCCTGGTGTCCTACTTCCTAGCTTTGACCAAAGTCAACCAGTCCTAAGTGACATGCATGAATGAAAATTGTGAGCATTTGCACATTCAGTGTCCTCTCCCTGAAGGTAAACAAAAACAATCACATTCTCCCCACAGCTTAAGTAGATTCACTACACTGCAAGAGGAAGGGTGTGATAAAGTTGAAACCATAAGGAATTAAGATGCTTGGTGAGATCACGATCAGTCCCTTTTTGGCTCTAGTTACTTGAAAGCACAAAATCCACTATGAGATTTACAGTAACAGGAAGTGGTATATAAATATTAATTGAATAAACAAGCAAGACCTAATTGGCTATTCTTCCTCCATCTACCAGAGAGATCAGAACAGTTGATTGGAAAAGTAAGTTTCCAAAAAGTTAAAAAAGGACTACTTACTGGATTCATATAGGCCACAAGCTAGGGTTTCTATCAATCCTATATTCCTGAAGAAGCCACATTTGGCCAGGTTCACTAAGCAATATGCTATGGTTATTTATATCCTGATTTCTTCCTTTTCTATGAATGTCAAGATGGCAAACATATCCAACACACCTTCCTCCTCCTACAGTATTTTCCTCAGAACAAGTGGAGAGAGAGAATCCAAAGTCACCCAGCTGGCGTTCATGGCTAAGGCTGGACTCATGGTTTCCCACTTTCTAACTTGATGCCTTAACCACTAGACCAGGGGTCAGCAACCTGCAGCTCTGGAGCTGCATGTGGCTCTTTCATCCCTCTGCTGCGACTCCCTGTTGCTGGTCGGCTCCACAATTGATAGGGCTTTCGGTTAGGACAGGTAGAGGCAAAAGGACACTGCGCTAGGAGGAGACTCTATGGTGGGGGAACCAGACTTCTGGCTGGCTTCAGAATTAAATGGAGGGGGGCTTCCAGTTAGGACCTTTGTGGCTCTTCGTGTGTTTACGGTTGCCGACCCCTGCACTAGACCAAAGTGGCTCTCTTGCAAACCATAATGGCCAGAATTGTGCACTGCAGCAACTTGAAACCAAACAAAACACTTGATGTATGAACTCAGCCACTTGACCCTGAGAGAACAGATAAGATGCTCCTTTCTCATTGGGTGAATGGTCCAACACTCAAGTACCTAAAACTATAAGCTTATCTCATGAAAATGTTTCCAAAGGGTATCAGGGTTAACTCTGCTGCCCTAAATATAATAGCCTGTGTTGCAGAACACACTACCACACACAACGACACAACCGCCATTGGTTGAACGAACCAAACTTGGTGAGGTACATACGGGACACAAATAAGCACACACCATTTCTCCAGTTTGTTTGAGTCAGAGAGCACATCTTAAAGTTTGAGAGCCTGTTAGAAGCACTCACACCAAATAAGTGCCGCTGTGGATCATTCAGTCATAAAATGCCCATTCACAAGAAGGCAAATAGAATAGACTGCTCCTGGTCACTTCCTGCCCAGCTGTCCTCATCCCCTCAACTTCTTTTTTATTTATTTCCAAAGAGCTAGGTACACTTTCAAATAAAGCAGTAGGCCGCAGCCTTCCGCCATCTTACTTTTCTCAGAAAATAGTGGCATCTATTGGGAAGGTTAGAAAAACCAAGATGGCAGACCCAGCAGCATGATCGCAATCCTCCCCATGTTGTATGCAGGGGTGGGATTCTACCGGTTCGGACCAGTTTGGGCAAATTGCGCAGTCACCGAACCGGTTGTTAAACCGGGAGGATCCCATCCCTGGTTGTACGTGTTTTGATGTTGCAGGCAGATATAAAGGGACAGACTTAAATTGCACTGCTGCAACTGCCATATTGCCTTTTTTTGGTAATCCTCCCCCCACCAAATGTTTCTGGCAGAAGGTTTGTGGGGCCCAAAGACACCCTTATACAGTAATTGAAATTTTTAAAGCCTGCTTCTTTAGCAATAGCAGTAGACTTATATACCGCTTCATAGGCCTTTCAGGCCTCTCTAAGCGGTTTACAGAGAG